TGATACTATCAAGAGCTTTATACGACGGTTTTGATCAAACATGTGCTACGTTTTGATGAACTTGATGAAAGACTTTCAAAGGGTAGTCATTAAGTTCAATAATATTTGCGCTATTGGGATGGAGTTCAATGGAAAATCGTTGAACAGTCACTCATAAAAGCACTTCAAAGTGGATAACATGACGAACTTTGAGAAAGGTCAATATATTGAGAAGTTCACATGAGATGATTGATCAAGGGTGCGAAGAGACTTTCGAACTGAAAATACGGGTTGATCTTAGAGAAGTCAAAATAAGTTTCCAGTTTCTATTCATAAGTCCACTAACGGAAATGTGATGTCTCATCGTAGTGAAACGACTGAGTCAGGTAAACAACTCATTTGTGAACTCTTATTCATAACTGTTCTATGCTTCATAGATTTACAGGATGTGATTGATACGATAACATCAACGAGTAGAATCATGACGCGATTAGTATGATATAATCGAAGTATCACGTTCGTTGTCATCTTATCTCAGCACTTGGCCAGATTGGAGCTCGTAATTCCACTTTCAACGATCAATCACTGATTAAACACAAATCGAACAAACTGAATTACAATCAATATGAAATCTTGATGGGATTTCCATTGCTACAACAGTTCTGCGCAGAATTCCCTGGCAACCTCAAAGATTGTAAAGATTTCCAAAAGCTTCGAATTCCTCATCGGCTTCCTACAAGCACCATGGAATCCATGAAATACCTTCAAAGTGTCGGCCTCTATCGAAGAGGTATGGATTCATCCGCAGGTCCGATAGCATACGTTCCAAAGCTTCAGACAAATAAATCCTGTTCAATTCGTTGCAAGTGCAGAAAATAGGAAATTCTGCCAGTCAAGCTATCGTCACCAACGAGCTGCACTTGTTTCTTGATGAGGTTCTGCAAAAGCCAAATACTTTTGAGTATAAATAAATGCTCTCTTTGCGTAAGGATATCATGGAAACTTTTGTGTGTAAGGAAAGGATATTTTGCATCTCTGTCACAGCAACGAAGTGCAAATTTTTTGCAAATTTGAGTAGTGATTTACTCCCTGTGGACTTAATCACAAAACTTCGATGCGCCTGTCAAACGAGACATTAACTCAGTGATGTACTCTAGTGTACGCTCTGTAAAAAGCAGCTTAACGACATCCCTAATCGCATTCTATCATTGAGTTATTCGTGACAAATGTTTATCGCATTTAAATTTGTTTATTCTAGACTTTAGTCCAGTAAAATTGGACTACTTCGGCGAGAAATTTCCACACTCTAACAATCGTCTATAATGCGTTTTCTTGCGTTAAGCTACAAAACGTCTGATTTTGGCAGTGTTGTCAGCTTCAGCTAGCTGGAATTTTTATTTTCAACGATCCGCATGGTTTTACATGTTCACTGATTGTCCACAAATATCTTACTGTTACTATTTTGAATTCAAGTGTAACGCTGATTTCGCTGGTGGAAGGAGTTTGACATTGCAGCAATGCAAACTTAACTTTTACTCACAATCAGTTTGATTTCTTCTCATTTAACCAGGTTCTTTTGCTATGTTCGATGACGGTGATCAAAATTTTCGAGTATNCCCGGTCATCAAATGCAACTTCCTTGCTTGTTTGAATAGTTTCTGGTTCTGGTTCTGAATTTCGATCGTTCACACTGTTCAACGTTTTCAACCATTCAGAAAAATGAATGCCTTGTGTGAAGTTTGCCCGAATCACGCTCACCTCTGAGGCTCGTTGTTTGAACAGTCCCAATTCAAATTGTGAATTGAAAGAAGTTTTTCACAAAAGAACTGCCCTCGTGCATGGTATATGCAGTATTCTTTGTTGGAAAATGTAAATTTTGCAAAGGAATCATGCAAACACTGTAATCGTTCCTTGCAAACTGTTGTGTTTACTCTGAGTTGGAGAACTATTATTGTACATTGTGTGTTCGAATAGCTATGGCCAAGGAATAATTACAGAAATCAGAATATGAGAATGATCGATTTCTTGGCGACGATTGATCTCTGATGTGCAATTTGACATGATTTAGAAATGTAACCGAAAAAAACGATTCTATTGCTGAACATAGCGTCGGAAAATTTTCAAGATGTTAATAGAAAGAGTTGCGTTTTTCTGGGCACCTGAAGATGTCTGAGGTTGTTGAAGTGAGATTGATAGATTTGACATTTTAAAGTATTTAGAGGATTTTCCTGGTGTTCTTCATGCATCCTGTCTATAGAATCTTTATTTGAGCATATTACTCCATCACTATAAACGATTTGATGTGTTCGAAGAGTTTTAGTCGTGTTATGAGTGCTGACTTGTTATCAACGCAGATCATCTCAGATAGCGATGGATTGCGATGTTTCTGTCGACTGAAACTATTGTCCATGGAGCAACTTTCTATGAAGCGACAGGCCACTTTGCTCGCCACTTGCTAGATAGGATGTCAATAACTTGAAAAAAATTAACAACAGCCAAGTTACTGAAGCAAAATAGGCTTTCATGAATAAACTTTCCAATCAGGTTTTCAGCTCATATACGTCGCTTTTACAGTTAGAATTTCAAGCATTATAATAACAATTGAAACCTGGAATCAAGAACATCGTAATGATAACGTGATTGCAATGTGCTGATGAGATTCCCCCGACAGCACACATTCAGAACATAAAATAACATAGCGCCGGATTGTTGCGATTGAAAAAAAAACTGAAAATATTTTCACGCTATCTCATCAGCTCCAAAGTGCATTGTCTAGTTGGTCGATGTGCTATACATCAATCATACTGGGAAATTTGCTATACTTCATGATTTCATGTGAGAAAAATGCACATTATGGTCTTGCTGAACTAAAAAAACGTGGTTATTGTTTTAGTTTTGAAGCATTCCGTGGTTCTGATGCTACCAAAATAGAACATTGAGTGCGTTGAACTGATCCAACAATAAATTCATCCAATCAGTCACAAAGTGTATTCCCTACTTATCAATATGCTATACATCAATCATAAGGGGAAATTTGCTATCTTTCATGATTTCATGTGAAAAATTAGAGATTATAGTCTTGTTGAACTGGCAGAAACGCTGTTTTTTGATCATTTTTAANGCATTCCATGCACCGAATGCTACCGAATTAATACACATTCTGTTCGCGGATCCATAAAATGACGGACGATAACTATTGCATGACAGTTGATAGTTAACAATGCAATAGCTACGATTATTTTACCGATCGAACCTGTTCATGGTCTTTTCTCCAAGTCGGGTGGTGATGTGATCTTTATGAGCAAAAGAACTAACTGCTAATTCAATGATCACCACTTGAGTGTGCTTGCTTGTGTTTGTTCATGAGTATATGGTGCTCACTGCTCAAGCGCTCATTGCGCTCATGTAATCGCAACTCCTTCATCATTGGCCTCGAGAATCTTAAGTCATGTCACAGAACCGTCGTCACTTTTCCATTTGAATTACTTCAAAACTGGTTAATACCCTTATTTAACTCTGCCAAACATCCAGTTTATTTTTTGTACACGAGCAGCGGGTGTCATGACTAGAACAACAGAAACATGCCCTAGTCAGTTCTGTGCAGTCAGTGCTTCAACTGATAACAAAGTTGACATTGTGTTCATTGCTCATTCACCATTCGATTGAAATCTTTTTGCAGTACTTCCTTCTGTTCATTGTGCTCTTTTATGTTGTAAATTTTAACGAGATTGCTCAAAAATGTAGCTTACTGCGTCCTTATCGATACCGTTCATTGCTCCCTATCGATACCGATCAATTCAATTCATAAGTTTCGATTGCATAGCAATTTTACCTTCCCATTCGATGTATTCGTAATGTCAGCATTTACTTTTGGACTTCAAGATCAACTCTCAGAACTTGTGTGGCTTATTTCGGCCCGGAAGTCTTCACGCTTCGATAGGAGATAAACAACCAGAATGACGAGTTTTGTTGACTTGATAAGTTGGATATTCTGCAACAACTTTCTCATTGATTAGAATGTTGACGGAGACTAAAATGTGACTTTTCTTCAACAATTGTTTTGGTAAACGTGCGTTGGTCGTTCAATATCTTTTAATATGCACCTCGAAACAGTTTCTATCATTTGATCGTTTTTCGATGCAATTGCATTCGCTTTTCTTCAGATGAGCTTGTTCTCATCCTTGAGAGCGCCAGTATTGCTTCTTCTTGAGGCGACGGTTCTATTGTCTATTGAATCTGTTTCCGGCGATAATCTGTTACTTGTTCAACCGGTAAGATTTTGATTGACGCATCGGAAGTGGCCCTTTCACCTTATTTTCACAAGTATTCATACTGAATTCTTATTTAGGCACTTTATGAAAACATCAGCCGCAGCAAACTGAAATATCTTCTCACTATGAGCAACAGAAGTTCAGATCGGCCTCGCTCTGAAATTTGGTCAAACCATTGATTTTGCGTTTCAGATTTGGCGACATGGTGATCGTTCACCGACAACCACCTATCCGAAAGATCCAAATCAGGAGAGTGCTTGGCCACTAGGATGGGGTCAACTCACTCCGGTCATTTTTTGCATCTCATCAAAGTTTTAGCCCACATTAGAGATCATTGTTTCGATAAAAATGGCGATTTCAGTTAGCAACTCCATGTGTTCATGTTGATAGTCGTAAGAGCGTTCCATTTATGAAGCGTTGTTCTCTAGACTGGTATGCTCAAGGCACACAGGATTATGAGTTTTCACTCTAAGAATCACTGCACTCAATTACGTTCCTTATTTGGGATATTGAAACCTATTTCGAAAAGAAAGGGAAGTCTATTACATTGAATACGATCGTCAAACGTGAGCAAATACGCGCACAACTCGCTCAAACGATACAAATCGTTTGAAGCTGTCAAGGGAACATGAAATTTTGA